CATGTTGAAATCCATCTTAATTATAGGTACATTCTTCATCTTGTACCTTGTATCTTTGTATAGTGGTGCCATTGCTGGATAGCCTGGAAAGAATGCTAATTTAAATTGAGGCAAGATTTTGAACTAAAAACGTTGCTTGTCCTTTATTGAATTTTCATTATAATAATGACAATATAAACAGAGACGTCACCTTAGAGTTAAAACAAGCAGCCAAACAACCAAACAAAAAAAACCCAACAAAACCCACTGACTGACATGAGATGGTTTTACCTGAAGAAAAAGAGTTTTCAGGAAATTAATACCCAACATCTGAAAATTGCTGTATATCACACGAGACTGACATCTCAGTAGGACATCATAAAACCTCAATAACTGAATCAGTTAAGATGTAATCAAAGTCTCTGACTCCAGAAAGCAATGACGTTGTTTATAAAATGAATACTGTACTAAAAGATACCATCTAGTAAAAAAATAACAAATCTGTGACATTTCATGGTAGTCTAACGATGCAAACGTGATGAAAATCTTTTGCAACAAAACCCAAGACTGGAAACACTGGAGAGTGAGTGATTTTTTTTTTTTACCTATTTTCAAGTATAACCTGAAGGAGTTCATGAGCTGTGAGATTCTCATCTCATGTTACTCTAAGTGTAGTTATTCAGGTAGATTAGTTTTTAGAAGATATTTTTCAGCCATCCTATGCCTTTTGCCTCTTATTGTATATGTTATCCATAGCTTAAATGCAAACATAAGAGGCAAGTTATAAATACAATTGATAGAAGAATTAGAACAGAAAAAAAACACCAAACAAACAATTAAAAATAACTCTGGAGATCCAGTGGCTAAGTATAGGATCAGGAACATCAATTTAGTAAATTCTAATACACCTACATGTAATTAGTCAGCCAAAGAACATGAAGGGTTTGAACTATAAAGAACATAAACTATAATGTGAAGTACTTTGTTTAAACATTTTGAATGCATATTTTTGTTACCACTATATAATAAAATAACTGATTTTATATTAAAATGACTCAGACCTTGAACCAGAGTTCTGTCAGAGCAGCCCTTCAGTTCTTTCACCTGGCATGTCAGAAATAAATGGGGAAAGCATGCAGACCAACACAAAGGTCTGCAGTTGAGTTTGAACTGGAGGCAGAGGTTTGTCCCTGTAAATAGCCCATTAAGTTCACCTGCAGTAGCTGAACTACAGCAGTTCGAGCCTTGTGCTAACAGAGCATCTGCAGGAAACAGCTGTCAGCAGAGGTGCAGACTCTGATTTGCTGAACTTTGCAATCAGACAATTTAAAAAATGAAGGATATCAATGTATGTTATAGAAAGTATTTTGCCTTTTCAAGTGAGGATAGTGTTGATAAACTGACACTTCAGAGGATGATAGTAAATTTCCACTGACGCAGGTTGTGAAACTAGCAAAAGCAGCAAATGAGGCTTTATTACGAATAAGTCAGTTTTAATGTTTAGAAAGCATTTTTCTATGTGCAGATTATGAAACGGGTTTTCATAAGTATGAATCAGAAATGATCCTGTACATCTGAAAACCCAGATTTCTATCAAGCTAATTTTTCCGTACCTACACTGAAAAGAATACAGAAAACTGATGAAACAATATCATACTTTATTTTGTTCTGTTGTGTGCTTTCATGAACGTATTTTAAGACAAAGAACATCAGCAAACTAAAGGGCAGTATGGAAAGAGTTAAAAAATGAACAGTTGTGTGCAAACTCACCACAGACATACAGAATGATTTTCACTGCAGGAGACTCTCTGACCAGATCCACACAGAGAATACCAACAGATGATAAAATGCATATATAGGGCATCCTTTCTCCTCAATGTGATCAAAAAGCCATGCATGAGATTGTTTTTTGGGTTTTTTTTCCTCTCAGTTCCTGAGCAGGACAAATATAAGTGGGAAAAAAGTCATCCTGTCAGTAAGTCAGCAGTGTTTCCCAGAGAGGCCGTGGGAAATAAATGATGGAGGTTTTCACACCTGGACAGGGCAGAACAACCTTCCCTGATCTCGTGGCTGACCCTGTTGGGACCACCAGGCTGGACTGGAAACCTCCTCAGGTCCCTTCCAGCTGGAATTATCCTTTGATACTACGGTAATTTCTAAAGACTGTCTGCAAAATCTCCCTAAGCAATACGTCTGCTCTTCTTACCCCTGTAAAGTTTTCCAAATGTCTAATGGGAATCTCTTTTATGATGTAAGCCCATTAATGCTTTTTTTTTTCCACCACAGATATACACTCTCCCTTTTTGCAATAACTTGCTATTTCAGGATCCCTTAGAAGTTTTTGTATGCTTAATTCTGTGCCATGAAGTGCCACATTTCAGTTTGTTCTATCTTTTGGGCTACCATATGTGTCAGATTTCTCTGAGATTTCTGAGTATGCTCAAAGCATAAAGCATAATAAAGCAGGAGTACACTCAGCTAGCTTTTAAAATTTTATTTCTCTACTCTACATTTCACTGATTTTCACAGCAGAAATTTTCCTAGAGAATTTTTTCTCCTCGTCCCATAGTTCTTAGGCTGCATATTATATGAATGTGCAATGCTTAAGCTGCTTCTGAGGTGGAATACCCAGGTTTTCCTCTCTTGCCTTTTTGCTCACAAGAAATTATTAAACTATAATTCTTATGATAGCTCATGCGGTGCAGTCATCCACAACTATAAACTCTATGACTGTTCTGAATTTGCATGTTTGCAGCTCTTAGGTACAGTTTTATCCTCAGTGGAACAGCATTCTGCTAGCTTCCTCTTGTTCCTCCTCAATTTTTTCTAGCTACTTCGTTTGGTGGATTTGTGTCGGTTTTCTTTTTTTTATTTCTTTCTTAACATCATGAGCTGCTCACCCATTTTCTTTGTTCCTCAGAGGGTTTTCCCTCTTCTATAAACACGAACACCAGTGTGTTTTCTGAGGCTACTTTCCCTTTCTGTTCCTTGAATTCTGGTCTCAGAAAAACAATTTTCTTTAATGCTTCCGGAAAAACACACTTATTTATCTGTCTTTCCTGTATTTAAACAAGTCTCTCAGAGTGACAGTGACTGTAGCATAGGAGAGATAGAAGGGGTGACACTGCCTTCTGTGATGTATTGCACGCACCTGAGAGCTTTCACTGAAGAACTGCTCTCTTCCTCACCTATACCAATATTGTTTGGAGAATTTTTCTTCCATTTTTAGGCATCATCTGCCTGAAACGAGGCTGGGTAGGCAGAGGTGTGACAGCTCTCCACTTTGCCTTGGGATCAGCAGGCCCTGTTGCACTGGTTATTCTGCCTGTCCTACGGCAAATGAGGATGTACAAGTATTTCACACAACACATTGTGTAAAGACAGATGTTTTCAGCTTACTCAGACATTAGAATTAGGACAGCATAGGATGCCCTGGACAAGAAGGATAACAAAATCAGGGTATGCTCAAACAACAAAATGAAGGCATTAGTGAAACATGGGTTGCCATAGCTTAAGTCGAAGTGGCACAACAGCATCAAAATGCAGAAGCAAAAATTTGGGCGTGAGATTGCAACTGAGATAAGATCATGGAGGGTCCACTAATGCCCATATCTCTAGGGTATCGCTATTCTGCTGCTGCTAGACAGGTACAATCTCACCTAGCAATGCAATCGCTCCTTCTGGTGCATTGAAGAAATGTCTTGAAGGCTTTCCTTCAAAGGAAAGAAATTCCTTTGGGTTGTTCTGGATTTACTGCTACCCAGGCAAAATTGCAACAGGCAGATTTAGTCAAGTGGTGCCATTATGACACTTGGGTGAGGTTATCTTTTAAAACAGCTAATTTTCTTAAAAACAAATACAGATTCAGCAAGTTTTGCAGTTTGTCCTACACATACCTCTTATATATCTAAATCTGGTCTGAAAAGTAACAATATCCTAGATTCTCTTCAATTTTAGGGTTCAATTTTTTAGTGTTTATTTGCTCAAATCTCACTAAATATGAAAAAGACTTGTATGTGCTGTGTACCTAATGAGCTGCTGCTAATGGGAGGGCAAAATCATCTTCACATTTATTTCAATGAATTCTAAAACAGCTACAGCTTGTAAACACCTGAAAACTTTACCATTTCTGTTATTTAACAATTATGCCAATATTTGTGGTCCTACTGTTTGCAGACGGGTATTGTCAAGGGGAATTGACTTCAGAAATCACAAAATTTTGTGACCTTTGACATATGCACCTGTGAGCCTTTACAATACAGGCCACTAAAAATGTTGTGAATGTAACTGCACAACCTCTCCAACAAGCGTTGCATGCGTCATGTTAAATATCCTCTATTGCAACATAAATATTAGAATGAAAAGGCAGACTGAATGTGAGCAATTTAAGTTTATCAAAATGTACTCTCTGATCTGAAATGCAAGTGGAAAAACACATTGAAGTGGGGCTCACATGGATTTAAAAACAAAGCATACTTGTGCTACTGATGAATAATCTGCCAGTATGTCTTTGTTGTCACTCAAAAAGAGTTGTTCAGTTGTAGTGGAGATAAATTCTGCAACTCCTGAAGATACAGCATATTCAGAGTAATTGACTGTATGCACCCGTTCGCCAACATATTTCAACTATGATTTAAGAAAACCTGTTTTAGAGACAGAAGAGTAATTCAGCCTGTACAGCTTGTTCAGGTCTTGGCCTTGTTGAAATTCCCAGATGCAATTTTTTATTTCTGTGGATATCAGTACAGTAGAAAGAATGCTGAAACTCATGATATTAAGTTATAGTCAGCCATGAAGTGATGAAGAAGGTCTTTTGTTACCAGACTGGATTGCAAACCCTAAATTTACTGAAAAAAATCATTCTGTAACCCCCTGCAAATATTCTTAAATTACTACAACTGGTATGCCATCAATTACGTCACAATTTTTTTCTCTTATTGGGAAAGATATGACAACGTGCACTCTTCACATGTTGCCTGTATTAACATCTGTCTTCTTGCTTTTGTCGTTTTCTTCCCTAGAATTTTCCCCCCCTAGCTGACCAAGTGGCACACAGGGAAACATGCCTGAGCAAAGCAACGACTACAGGGTAGTCGTGTTCGGAGCTGGCGGAGTGGGCAAAAGTTCCTTGGTTTTGAGGTTTGTGAAAGGCACTTTCAGGGAGAGCTACATCCCCACCATTGAAGACACCTATCGGCAGGTGATCAGCTGTGATAAGAGCATATGCACCTTGCAGATAACCGACACCACGGGGAGCCATCAATTTCCAGCCATGCAACGTCTTTCTATCTCTAAAGGACACGCCTTTATTTTGGTTTACTCCATCACCAGCCGGCAGTCCTTGGAGGAACTCAAGCCAATCTATGAACAAATATGTCAGATTAAAGGAGACATAGAAAGCATTCCAATAATGCTGGTGGGGAACAAGAACGACGAGAACCAAAACCGAGAGGTGGAGAGCAGCGAAGGAGAAGCCATGGCTAAGAAGTGGAAATGTGCCTTCATGGAGACTTCTGCCAAGACGAACCACAATGTGAAAGAGTTGTTCCAAGAGCTGCTCAACCTGGAGAAACGCAGGACTGTGAGCTTGCAAATTGATGGCAAAAAAAGTAAGCAGCAGAAAAGGAAGGAGAAGCTGAAAGGCAAATGCGTGGTGATGTGAAATTGCATTGTCAGAAGTCAGCTGTGAAGTCCCACCTGAGAACACATACGTAAAACCTATAGACACCAAACAACCATGCAAGATCCTATTTATTAGTATCTGTTCTGGAAGAAAGCTTCAGAACTTGAAAAAATTAGATACTGTGGTTGCTATGACAAAAATCAACAAATAAAAAAGCATGCACTCAATGAAAATAAATCAGGAAGAAAAGGAAAGATGCCCCAGGAAACCTAATTTTGTAATTTACAGAAAAGAAGAATTTTCATCATTCACACACATAATGTGAAAGATTTGGAAAGTCAACTTAATAATATTTTCATTTGCATATAACTGCAAGAGAAAGCACTGTATAATGTCAGAAGAAAATCAAAAAATAGTTGTGAAGAAACCTAGAACATACAAATGCATTCTGGGTGGCATTAATCATTTTCTTTAAGAATGCTGTAAACAAAAAATTCTGTGCCATTTTCACTACTGACTGGTGGAGAGTATGCATAAGAGAGTCTTGGATCTGCCAAATAAATGAACTATTGCACAGTAAAAGGAAGTGTGGGTACAGCAGTTAAAAGGAACAGATATTATCTCTACCCTTCAGCATGATATTTCTTTCTGGTGGGATGTAGTATTTGAACTGAAGGTTGTGGAAAAGACAGTCCCTGCAGGAGAGGTGGAGATCATCTGCTTTTCTGGACTCATTGCTTCAAGAATGACCTGTGTTTCTGGCCCAAGTATGTTTCAGAAGAACAGACATTTGCCCGTGGAGAATGTCAGATTGTATAAAAATGGTGTACATATACAAACAGAAAGCTTCCCCAGGGAGGACTGACTGGGGAGGCCCCTAAAAAGCCTCTATGGGAAAGACTCGATTCAAATGCTGCTGCTGGTTAAATGAACACATGGTGTGATTAATGAATGAATGAAATGTCTTTTGAACTGGTGAACTGGTGGTACCCTTGGACAGGGGTCAATGCAGGATACAAAGTTTTTATTCAATTTATCAGATTAGAGGAGTGATGCTTCTTTACATTACCATATTCCAATCAGAATGGGGTTATGTTTCTGCACTACTAGATCTACTGCCTTTATATTGTCTGAAGAGTTTTATATTTGCCATTTAAATTCATGATTTGAACTGCTGTGATTATTTATAAAACCAAATCCTATATCTGGAGTTAGGGCCCATTGGAGCCTCTAAGAGAAGATTTTCTGGGATAAGCACTACAGGATTTGGCATATTAAGGGTTGCAGTCAGTACTGTGTTACAATGCAATGCAAAGTTCAGAATAGAAAAAGAAAATATTTAAAACAATCTATCAGGGGAAATTGCTGTTCTCAAAACCTTTGAAAGGGGAAAAATTGTACAAAATGTGAGCTTTCCTGGATGTCTCTCCAAAGCTTTTTTAAAAACTAATATGAATGACTGAAGTGTGAATCCTACTGATAACAAAGGCCATCTAACATAAAATAAGCACATACAGTTTTTAAAGGACACATTAAAATTGCAGAAGTCACAATTTGCACCTTAGGAACTGCTTTGAACCAATAAAAAAGCCTACTATATTTTTAGTAAATGTTTATGTCAAGAAACATGGGAAAATGAAGTCAAGCACTAATATTACTAGCATGCATGCTGTTGCATTATAAATACCTTCCAGGAGATGCTCAAATGCAGTAATTGCATTAAAAATTTCTACCTTGTTTCTCTCAGAGTTATTGCTTGCTTAACTCCCACCTTTCTAACAAATGTGCAGATATTTCACAAGTAGAGTGATAGTATACATTTCTTTGGGGAAGAATTGCTATTAGCACAGTCTAGAGAGGAGCACAGCCTTTGTCATTCACTCAGAAGAAATTCTGGCACCAGTAGAATCAAGTGTGAAGCTGCTACTTATTTCAGAAAGACTTTTTTTGTGTGTATTTACTTCATTGCATTAGAAGAGAAAACTGTAAAGAGCATGGAAAAAAGTTAAGATTCTTCATTGACAACAAATTCCTGGCTCTTACACAACACTCTTTCTCCGTAAATCTCAAAGCACTTTGCAAGAAGGACAGCATCATTATCTTAAGTTCTCAGGTGGTGAAAGTGAGGCATGAAGAGAGGAAGCAACTGCACATAGGTTGCCCAGTGGGTTAGTGGCAGACCCAGGAACAAAAGCAGATCTCCTCTGCCCCAGTTCAGTGCCACTCTGTGTTTTGTCAGATTGTCTCTTTACATTCTTAAATAGTTTCTGAAACACATAAAGAAGCCTGGTTTGGCTTACACAGCCAGGTGCATCTTTCTCGACTGTCTGTCAACAAATCAAACAGTATTTCCAGATCAGGGATGCAAAGCATTTAAAAGCACTATGTTTGGTAAGACTTTTATAAATGTTTATACATCGACGGTGTAATAAAAATTGCTGATGATACTCAACGTCACAGCATTTGATCCCGTGGACGAAGCTGGGAAAAAAGCATGATCAACCTTAAGGAGGCATACAAAGATCAAAATTAGAGAGGTTGCCCACAGACGCTAGCACACCAGTGCCAAAGGTCATCATGCATGGCACATGCCTTAGCAGCCAGCATGGAATAATGATAGAAAATCAAAGAGAAAAAAAAAAAAGGCTATATAAAGGACCTTTTAACATTATTTCTTTAGCTGGAGGAATAATTTACATACTAAAGTATCTTGCAGAAGTACAATATAGGGGATCTGAATTACTTAAAATGTACTGACTGCAAAGATATTACAGGCTGAAATTTGGCCCTGGACTTTTTTCTGAATGTGCCTCATAGCAAGAAAAGAGTAATTGTATGGTAAATATGGAAATAAAACTAGTAGCTGCCAATGTTAGGCTTGAGGACCATTTCCTTTAGTTTCCAGTTGATTCCTCACCTGCTACATTATAAGCCATGAAGTATTTCATGGACTTGCATGTATAAAAGCAAGGCCAGTACAGAAGCAATATTACTCAAGGACCACAGACTCAAAAGAGAAGATATTTTATACCCTTGCATTGCCATCCTAGTTTATACTATTAGATTTTACATACCTTGCATATGTGTGAGCTGGTTGAAAATGTTTGTTTTGCTATTACTTATAGAATTATTTTTTTTAACACAGAAAAAATATAAGGTAAATAAAGAAAATATACGGCTTTATTACATTTTGTGTTTTATTTGAGAATGTGGTATCAGTATAATAATCTCTTTAAAAAGTATATAAAGAATATTTAAAATATGTAAGGTCTGCAGTGAATTTTAGCACCCAGAAAATATGATCTAGCCAAAATGAATCTTTAAAATGCATGATTTTTATATGTATATGTGAAATATTAAGTATATAGTTATCATGAAAATGTGTTGTTGCAATTTCATTAGCAATTGTTTTATTCTAAAACTGGATATGAAGTAATTTGTGCCTACAAGTTTCCATGTGTGTGATGATGTTCTCAACATACAAAATAAAGTTTTAAATCTAAACATAAGTTTAGAAGTCTTGTTGATGCCTGCATTGTATTTGTTTCATAAGTATATTATATATTTTTAAAAATTGTAAAGGCAATTCTTTAATCTAAACAGATTCTTACGTGCTAGGCAGAATCCCAGAGCCTTCAGCTATACAAATCAGTCTTGAGTGAATTGGACCAGTATTATCTTATCCAATATTTACTCTTCCTTTATTATACTGTGGCAAATACCGACCTTTCAAAGCAATCTACCTTCAGTAAAAACTGCCCAAAAAAGTTTATCAGTGGGTGTTCCTTTTGGCCAGCAAAAATCAAAATCATTTGGAAAGCTAATCTGTATCTCAATATTTACTTAAAAATAATGGCAGATAAAACTTTGTGCTTGTGAAAAATTGAAACTTGCTATATGGATCCTGCTATTGCTCCTCATTTCTATAAAATTCCTGATGCTTTTGCAAATTTACTACTACTGCATTTTATATCACCACCTGTTGCAAAAAATATCAAATATGATATTTTAACACTTCTTGCAATACAGAAGATGCAGTAGCAGCAGTTCAGTTAAACAATTATTTCTTCTTGTAAGAAGTAGTTCATATTTGACTGAGGAAGGAATCAAAAAACAAGCTTGAATACTTATGCATGTTGATAGGCATTTGAACCAGCGATGAAATATTGAGTATTTATTACAGATTTCACCTCACTGCACGTGGCAGTCCAAGAAGCATTTTATTTTTAGTAATAAACACCCCAGGACTCTTATTAATCCCTATTGTTTTTGTTTTATCTTTTGTTCTTCTAATGTGCCATCATTCACTATGCTTTGTCCTGGTTCTGTTACACCCTACTGTACAACAGTGGATGTGCCAATTCAACGGCCTGAGTTTTGCACAATTCAGTCACTAATTGCTTTACAAATGTTTACCGTATCATATTCCACGGAAACACCAGAAGCATCACAAAATTTTGCCAGCCTTCAATTTTGTTTTGGTCATTTGTTACTACTCTTGTTTCCCAGTGGAAAATATTTTCATTTTTAACAAGACCCCTCATTCAAACTTGTGCACACTTGTCACATTTAGTTCATCAGCATTTTAACTGGCATTCTCACCCACCTTCTGTGCACATTTTCTGATTAATCCACAAATTTATTTCATGCAGTCAAGTGTGTCTGAAGTCCAGCTCCACTAAAACTGCAAAGAGAGGGAGAGCTGAGCTTGAGTACCTTTAAAAGTACATACCTGGATGCTCTTTGCAAAGGACCCAGAATCTCTTCCAAATTAACCAAAGGAATAAAGGGTATAGAGAAAACGTTTAGCCTCTTTCGTATAATTTATCTTGATCGAAGTACTACTTTTTATAATGAGTTATAGTGGTTCTGCTGCAATTGTAATGAAACTGAAGGGCAAAAGAAGATTTGTTGTTCAGTCTGATGTATGTATGTCACACTCAGATACCGAGGAGTGGCCCACAATGGATCCTACAAGAGCATCTCTAGTTTCAGATTCTCAGATCAAAGTGCAGCCTGTGAGGGTGCTGTGAGTGGTGCACACCACAATCCACCCCAAAACTCAAGTCAGTGTCTGTGGGCCTCTACACCTGATGCTCTGAAAGCTGTGTATGACGGTGTCTGTCACATGGAAATTACCACAGTACTTTATTAATTTCAGTAGAGAAAATGGGAAATAAAGAAGCGTAAGAGGTGTTCTTTTATAAGAGTCATGTGGCAAATATCTTTATTTAATATGTAAGATGAGAAAGGTTATTCTGCTTTAGCTTTCAGAGAGAAGCGAGGAGAGCACTGATGTTTCACTTTAACATATGTCTGCTATACAGCAGCTTTTGTCCAGAGCTGCTGTAAAGATCCTTTGCCTTTTGAATTTCCTTTCCTTCTTTGGTGGTTCAGTTCCTGCTGTTGTTCAGCTTGGTCCTTTAGAAAGACTGTTGACCTGTTTATTAATTTATAACCATGTTACAAAGGCACTGTACGCTTAGGCATATGAATTTAATTCCAGATTTTTCCTAGCCAGCTGTCTGTCCCCTGCACAGTTGGGTCACTGTGACAAAGAGGTAGGAGAATTATAATTTGGGAGGGGAAGTAGAAGCACAGAAAATGGGAACGTCAGAAGATTTTACAGAACTCACTATTTCTCAAAAAATTGTGAGATCAGTGAGGACCCCTAAAAGTATTTTCCAAAAGAACAAGTCAATATTGACTGATCACACTGAGCTGCACTAATACTGGCTGTTCTTACAGACATCACAGGGAGGTGACACAAGGTTGCCTCAAGTAAGCAGGTTGTATAAGGACAGCAATTGCTACTCAGTGATCTATTCAAATCTGTAACTCCTTATAAAAGCAATTTTACACTGGATAGCTGACCTGTATGACCATGTAGGGGAACACACTCACTAACCACAGGGTTTTAGCTCTCCTATCCTTCCTCTTGCGCTAGTTTTGACTGGAGTAGGGTTAATTTTCTTCACAGTGGCTAGTACGGGGCTGTGTTTTGGATGTGTGCTGAACACAGAGTTGCCAGTATAAAGATGTTTCTGTTATTGCTGAGCAGGGCTCGCACAGAACAAAGGCCTTTTCTGTTTCTCCTGCTTCGTGCTGGCGAGGGGGCTGGGGGTGCACCAGAAGCTGGGAGCAGACACAGCTGATGCCAACTGGACCCTACCATACCACAAAGTGTCATGCTCAATATAAGAAGCTGGGTGATGAAGGAGGAAGGGGGGAAATTCAGAGTGATGGGGCTTTATTTTCCCAAGTGACCATTAGGGATGGTGGGGCCGTGCTCTCCTGGCGGTGGCTGAACACACCTCTGCCCATGGGAAGCAGAGAATTAATTCCTTGTGTGGCTTTTCTTCTGTGTGCAGTTTTGCTTTGCCTGCTAACCTATCAATCTGTCTCTATCAAGGCCGTGGTTCTTTTCACCTGTACTTTTACAATTCTCTCCCTGATCCCACTGGTGGGGGAGTGAGCAAGCAGCTGCTGTAGTGCCCACTTGTCTGCTGGGGTTAAACAAGACCTATTTAGTCCAGGCAGCTCTCTTTCCCTCTACATGGAGAGAGACAGATGTTCTCCTCAATGAGGTGAGATGACCTCTACAGGTATGAACAACAAGTCCTTTCCTTCTACAAACCTCACACTGGTCAAGCCTTGCCTTTTACAATGAATTAAAAAACTGACTGGAACAAGGGAAGCCCAGTACAGCAGCAAGGGAAATCAGGATACTTTTATAGAAACATGTCTGTAAGCATCCAAATAATAGTATATTTATATGTAGCTCTATGAAGCGCATGTTCATGTACCAAAAATGGTGAAAGACTGTGTTAGAAGAGAGAGGCAGAATTACAGAAGTGGCTTTTCTTGGGATACTGAATGTGGAGAGAGGGTAAATGTGTTTAGTTTCAATGATAATATTTAAGAAGGATGAAACAAAGGAGGCAAAAAATCAATTGCATATTCTTGGAATTACCCTAATAATAAAGTCCATTAGGACACAGATCAATCACTCAGAGTAAGTAGCAGTCAATATGAACATTAAAAAAAGGTTGGGGTAAAAGAAACAATCTTAAATTCTGTCCTTCCTTTTTGCTGGCTGTTATGATCCATTTATTAAAATTATTAGAAAGATGCCTCTGCCTGAATTAAGGTGCAAACAAGACCATATGCCAAAATCAGTGGTATGGATTTTATTTAACAGTAAATGTGAGGCAGAGAGAGAGAGAGAGGTAGAAAGAAATAGGAAAAAGGAGGTGGCAGGGAAGAAAGAGAGTGTTTCTTTTCAAATTCAGATCTGAATCTAAGATTGGTTTTGTTCTGAAAGTTGGAGCTGCACCTAATCATTTCATGGTCTTTTGCTTACCTAGTGTGGCAAAAGCTGGATGCCATTTTGCAAAGGCACCGTTAACCCACTATGGCAGAGGACAATTTTAATTTATTTATTACTTACTAGAAAACAGCTCCAAATGGTGTAGTAATAAAGTAACTGGAGTGGTTGGTGAGCAGCCACGCTGTTAAACTATTGCCATGGAAAAAAAAAAACAACAATACAAACAAAAATAGCCAGTCAGTTACGTAGCAGCACATAAAGTGTGCTGCATCTCTCAGAAGTTACCATGGTCTAAACATTGGTGGGTCAATTAGGCTACAGAGCACTGCTTTAAACTGTTTACGGAACC